TATTAACTTCCCTGCTTATGCAGTAGTTAGGTGCCTTTCTTCTGCTCAGACAATCCAGCATGTTTTTCAGTGAAATATGATAAAATGTAAGAAGCATATGCTTGCAGAATGCATAGGTGTAACTGAAGCAGTTATATTTTTAATGTGGGTTTTTTCCTATTATTCCTTGGGTGTTTTTGTTCTATATTATGTTTTGCTTTTTTTTTTTCTTTATTTGTCTGCTTTATTATTTGCTGAGGCTGTTGTTTCATTCAAGGTTTTTGCTTGGTGTTCTAAAGAAACAGAATTTAGACATGCCATGTGTGCATCAGTCCCACTGTAGTAATTTTAAACCTGTTAGCCAATTTCAAATAAACATGAGAGTAAGAAAAAGATTCCAAAGGCATTGATTTTCCATAATGTCTGAGTCCAGGTGGCTTGGGAGAGAGGAAACACCTTAACAATGCCCTACAGCATGAGCTATATGGAGAGAGAGGAAAGACTAGAGATATTTTTGCGAACTAGGTTTAATTACGTTATTCATAAAATTGCTTAAATGCTAGCCCGTTCCCTTTGCTATTCCATTCTGTTTTCTATTTGTGCAGTCTGATGAGAAGTTCTGCATGATGGTGGGAAAGACAAGATACTTTTCATAATTGTCACAGCCTAGAACATTTATATAAATAAAAAGGTATTTATGGTAGGCACTGATTTTAGATATGCATGATTTGAAGGGGTGGACAATGTCAGCCATTTTACCCATGAAGATTGTGTGATTGATGGGAATGGGTGAGACAGAATTGAAGCAAAGCACATGAAAGTTTAGTTTGCCTTTAGGTTTTAAGTCTTCAAGATTATCTTTGTCATTTTGGAGGATATTTACTTTTTTTTTTACTATTCTTTAGTGAAATCTTTATGTTAAAGATCTCTGAATTAGGCAGGACGTGTTGAAAAATCTAGGATTTTCTGAAAAGGTCAACAAGGGGAGAAGGGAAGGAAAAAAATAGCAGAGATATGAACTCGCCAGAAATAGCTTGGTAATAGTAAAATGAGAACAATGCTTCTCAGACTCTGTAAAGGGTCCGTAAAACCAGGAAAAAGCTATAGGCTGTTCCTGCTTAACTTTGGTGTCTGGTAGTTTTAGCTGGTTCTTTCAATCTCTGTTTTCTCTGCTCTTTGAGATTATATTCACCTTTCCTTCTTGATGTCTAAATCCTATTGCTTTACTCTCTTGCTAGAAGCATTGATTTATTTACTTAGGCTTGTACAAGCATGCTAGTGTTCTGCTAAAGTTAAAAATATTGTTGCCATATAGTAGCTGGTCAAAGAGTGGGATTTTAGAGTAAAATATCTAACTTCATATTCAGTGGAAGCTGCTTGTCAGCATCTTTATAGGTTTGAATAGGCATTTTAAAAAGATTGAGCTCTAAGCCTTGATAATTGAACTTAAGCTCATAAATTTAAGTCTTATCTGCTCCTGAAATTGAAACCTGGACCTTGTTGTCAAACTGCAATGAAGATCTACATGAAAATGAAATAGGATGTTAAAGGAGAATTTCTCATTTAGATTTGCTTCTTAGCTGTACAAGCAACAATTTTAGGAATGTTGATCTCATTTTTATTGTCTTGGATATGAATGACTTTATAGAGTGAGCTATTGAGTGCCCAAATCATCCCACATTCCAACTTTGTCAGTGTAACCTAGGCATTTTGCTTGAAATAAATATACAGATTGGTGACTTCGTAAACATTTATAGCTGTACCCTGTGTTAAATAAGGACTATGCTTTATTTTCATGCAATAAAATTTAATTAGTTGTAAGTCAGGTTTTGCTTTAGTTGTAATTAGTTTAGCATATAATTATTTTGTCTAATAGCAATTTGAAATCTGCAAGCATTTTGATCTTATTCCAAGTTTAAAAAAACCCTCCTCTTAGTAATGTATTCAATCAGTAGCTATAATAGAATCGTATTAGTCAACCATGTTACAGACTGTGTAAATCTTTAAGTGACTGAAGCAGTGTTTTCACTGATGCTTGTTATATATTGCATTAAGGTGCATATATATATAGAAATGTTTTATATTGGACTTGGGGCTTTTATATGATTCAGAAAAAAATCAATGATCTGTGTTTTGTTGGTGAGCTTAATATTTGCTGTTTGATTTTTAGCTTTTTTAAATTTTTAATTTCAAAATTAATTTTTAAGCTCTAGCTTTCATAAAATATAACTGGGAACTGTGTGTGTGAAAACAGTAAAACTTCAGTTTTAGCAAATGGATGTATAGTAGATCTCATAATTTACACACACATATTATTGCCTAATAAAATGTATTATAATGGTTAATAGTTATTTTTCAAATAATGTCTTGTGTCTTCTATCTTTTGGTTGTGGCTGGATTCCATTTCTAAAGAAGTTGCCCTGCCAAGGAGTCTTCTGTGAGCTCTGCCTGTGGATTTCTTTATGGGAACAGCATTACAGCCAGAGATAAATGCAGAGAACTGCAGTGGAGTAATGAGGAGCAGAGCTTCTGTTCTTACTTCCAGTCTAACCAGCTTATTTTTTGCTAGCAGTGGTTTACAGTATTGCTTGCTGGTAATGTTGCGCTAAATTAAATTTCACCTATATTATTAATTTTAAGGTTCTTACATTTCCTTCATAAAAGGGCTCATCTTGCTCTCTGCTGATCATTTCATCAGCCTATAGGTCAGGAAATTATGACTATTCAGGGCATAGAGAATGGTATTTTTTAAGGAATTGAATAAATGGACAGTCAACAGCCTTGTACTTGATGGATATTTTTTTTTTCAAACTCTATAGTCTGATTGATAGGGATAAATGACTTCACAACTAGAAAAGAGACACTTGAGTATTGACAATTAAAAAGAAATATGTGCTTTAGCCTAGGAAGAAATTGCCTCATCTTTAAGGAATAGGATTTTCAGTTCCTTCTCTGTTTTTGCAATTACCTGCCCTATAACACCCAAAAAAATGTAGATATTTCTGTTAAATTTAGCAGGCATATCATGTGAGTTAACTTGTAATTTTCCCTTCTAGACTTTCTATTTTACTATGATGACTAGGGTACAGTTCTTAATTCTGTTTCAGGTGTTTTGAAAGCAATCGTATTTATATCATCAGACATATTTTTAAAATATCTTGTAAGAACAAGTGTGTGTTATTACCTGTATAATTCTTTGTATATAAATACTTATGTATGGAGGTATCGTATGTAACTGTAGAACTCAATACTCTGTGTAAGTGGGAATATATGTATAACACAAAACTAAAAGCTTAAAATATAGAACACAGTTGTATAGAAACTTGAAGATGTTGCACATTTCACTTGTTAAATACCATTATACTAAGGCCTCAGTGAAAGGCTGTTGAAAGCTCTTAATAACAATGGTGTTTACTTGGTGTTAATCTCTAGACTAACAGTAGGGAAAATACAATTTTTTAGTTTGCCTCCCCCCCCAAACGAAGCTGACCTAAAAATATTTTAATTATCAAAACAATAGGGAAAATAATCTTGCTGATAATAGAGTAGTATATTTTGTTTATTGTGCTTATTTTTTGCTCTAGGCTACTTTAAAACTAGCTTTAAAACAGCACCCTTTAGGTATCAATGGGTTGAAGTTCATTCGCAACACAAATGTAATAATAAAAATAAGTCAAATATATTCCCATTATCACTCAACATGCTCTAGTTAGAAGATGGATGTAGAAGTGGCAAAAACTATGCAGCTGCTCTACATCAAAAACTAGTCTAAGTATAAATAAATACTTGGAAATGTTTTGTCTTTAAAATTGAAAGGAGTCTTAAAATAAAGAGTGATTCAATTCAGTGTGACAAATGAAGTATGAATTCAATTTTAAAATAAGTAATAGGAAGGGTTTTATTTTTGTTCCTTTAACCGTGTTTTTACCCAAACATATGAATATTGTATTTAGTACTGAACAGTTTTATAAGGTGAAAGTTGCCAATTGTTGGAGTCAGTGCACATTTTCCAGGCCACAGCCACTGAGCTGACCTAGGAAAGCAGAGAGATGTGAAAATCTGGAATAATAGAAAGCATTCACGTCTCAAAGCTGAATTTCAACTGTGTGCTTGAAAGTAGAAAAGGGCAATTATGGGGGAAATATCTCTTCCCCAACTCAGACAGTTTCAGAGGGTCTTGCAGCCAGCTAGGGCACTTCCTACGGGATTATTACTCATTGCAGATATCCAGCAAAAAAAAAAAAATCCTGACTTTTTCATGTGATAAACAATGACAGAAGCTCTACTTTGGACTCAGTATGATCCTTATATTTTATGTAGTTACAAGGGTAAAGCATCCTGGACAGGCAAAAAATTATTAAATATCCATGTCAAGGAATTGGAAAATAACTACCTTTGCTTTCATTTATGTTGGGGTAGTTGGGAGCAGCACTGCAGGAAATAAAAGCAGTGTTTTCCTGGGTGTAGTAAGGTAGAGATCAAGAGCAAAATAATGGGAAAAATGCTCCATTTATTAAGCAGGTTTTCTAGAGCAAGGATCCAGTGATTCTGTTTCCTCTTGTCCCATTCTTTGAGGGAGCACATGATTCTGGCCTACTGTCTAATTACTGAGCAAGAAGTTTTCAGGTTGATTTATATGGGGTACCTGTTGGATAAGCAAACTAGACATTTCCTACTTGATAACTTTTTCAGTTTATGGGTTTGGTTTCGGACTTTACTTGCACTTTTGTTCCTTTCAGGATATAATAAGTTCAAAAATGTTTCAAGGTTTGTTAAAACTTGCATGAGATTAAGAGATTATAAGACTATGTTAAGTTTTGAGGACTCATGGTGGACAACTAGATGAACTTCTGGAGAAGAACGGACAGAAAAGCCAGAAGAGCAGGTTAAGTGACTAACTTAAGGAAGATGGATTGGGCACCAGGTGGCACCCTTTTCCCATATCAAGCTAGTAGTTGATGGATGGTAATTCATCAGATAGTTTTGATAGGCTTTCAGTAATTTCCTTTTATTGACACCAACATCCTCTCCCCATAGTAGCTTCTTACTTATCCTTTCATTGGTTTTGGCGTTGTTGTCTTTGGCTCAGCAATTTGGGAGGCAGCAGATGTTGTGATTGATGCAGAGCTGCCAGGGTGCTGGTTGGCTTGTTGATCAGGAGCTGATGCATATGTCCACTGGCTGCTTCCTCAGAGCTGCTAGAGGAGAGAATCAAACAGGCAAGCAAATGTCTGCATCAGATGAAGAATATGTAGGAGGCTAAGTGCAAAAATAACAGCAAAAGGATTGGGAGAAAGGAGGAGTCAGGAATTTATCAAAAAGTCATAAATAACTGAAAATCAATGCTATGGACAGCAAGGAACATGGAGAAGCATATAGATAAGGAGACTATAATAAATTTGAGGTAAAGAAAATCATGGAAAGAAGGAAAAGCAAATGTTCTGTCTGCTCCTACTTCAGGAGTTTCAAGAAAAACACCTAAAACAAGCCCCATTACAAAGAAAATAAATAGTCATAAGGGAAGAAAGAATCCAAGAGAAAATCAGTTCAATCTTTTTTTTTTTTTAAGGCAGTTTATGGAAAACCTACTTCAGGCTCTGATGTGGGAAGACAGAAGGGACAGCTGAAACAGAGTATTGGATACCTGATTATATTGATATTTTATCGTCTGCCCAGTCTAGCTTAAACCCCTGGTTGTTCATGATTATAGAGCAGTAGCTTTTCCATCTGGTAGCCAAGTTTGTGCTCTTCAGATTTGCATCTCCACAATTTGAATGGCACTGTTGCTTTTTACACTTTTTCCAGAGAGGCTTAAGGTAGAGAATGTAAACACTGAAGCTGCCAAGACAAAATGCATTCTGAACCTATAGTTAAAACCATCATGTTTCCAGGTAGTACTTCTTGCTGAATCCTGAAGCATGTAATAATGCATTGCTTTGGAAAGCATTTTGTATTCTTAAGATAGAAAAGCATATTTCAGCATCTGATAACTAAAAAGAAACTTTTCCAAGGCTGCTGACCCAGATACTTTAAGATGGGTTTGAATTTAGTTAAATTTTATTTCAGGCTGCTTTTACTGACCTTCCTTCCCCCTCTCCCCTTGTACATTCCCTTGGTGGTCTTTCAAAAGCCAGGTGTCTGGGATTGTCTCCAGCCTACTCTGAAAGCACCCCAGGCCTTGGATTAATATGTGAGTGCTGCCTTTTATTTAAGTCCATCCATTTACATAATGCCTGCTCAGTCAGACCCACTTGTGATGTACAGCCAAGTTGAACCAAAACCTCAGGAGGTCAGTAGTGCATGGTCCTGTTTTTTACTGAATTTAACTTAAAATGTCAGACCTTTTTGCAATGAAAACCAAAGAATATTGCAAAGGTGTTTTGGATTTCTGATTCACAGAGGGATGTTCTAGAGATGTTTGATCTTTGTGTAAAAGAACTGGAGAACGAATAGTATGTGAAAATGTGCTTCTGCTTAAAGGGTGTGAGTGTCGATCTAATATCAGGGTGAAAATTTCATTGTGTATACATGGCATGACAGTACGTTATTAGTATCAAAAATAATTTCTGTAACACATAGAACAGATTTACCTGGACTGCATCAATGTCATTCTGTTGTACCAAGTTCTCACTCTAAAAGCATTGTTGCCATTAAATGAAAGACTTTGAGTCTCATTTTCTAAATGTAGTTCTGAATTACTGAGACCTCAAAAACCAAACAAATAGTTTCTTGTTATCCTTTGCAAGCATGTTGAACTATGGATTGGTTTTTTTTGGTTTGTTTGGGCCTTTTCTGATGATCACAATTGTCAACTTTTATACCTTGACGTTGTTTTTTACTAGAGTCCTTCTCAATATTGTTGAAAGTGGGTGACAGGACCTAACTCAGTTAGGAGTGGAAGGGACAACTGCACAAAATAGTGAACTCGACTTAAGACTGTGTTTAAAATGTTCACACTGCTGAATTTGCAAGCAAATGGTGTTTAATTAGAGATTGTTTTGGCAAAAGGTAATATCCAAGTTCTCCTGCCTGGTTAGCACTTGAGCAGCAAATAAACAGAGTACGGACTTCTACGAAAATAAAAATGATCAGTTAAAAGAGACGAATTTAGGAATACTTGTGACAGTGTAGTGATAGGCTTTCTTGTCACAAGTTTCTATTATTGATGTTGTAGTTTAGTATGAATGTATTAGAAGGGCATTATTTTCTCAGTATTTGTCTCTGCTACTTTTTGGGGGTTTTCGCATGAAAACAGAGCGTTTGAACCATCAGTTGATTCCAGAACTTAGATATATAATATTCTTGGTACTTACATAATATGGTACTGCTTGATTTCCCTGATGAGCAAATCGTTGTTTCCAGTACTTTGTGTATGTGATTCACATCTTTATGGATATATTTCTTTAGACTGGAATACTGTATTAATGAACTGTCAATATGAGATTATTCTTGCTCTTAGTGTATGATGCTATTGTTTATAGTTCTTCAATGACTTAAGAAATGATAGTGATTGCATTTTATTACCATTTCTAAATTGTCTTATTGATGAATGTTATCTGACTTGAAATTTTTAATTTTATAGATATTCTGAACATGTGCATGCTGTTTTTTGACCCTGAGTTATCTTTTTCACTTTTAAGTTGGGGGGTTTTCCATATAAATCAGAATTTTTTGCTGTGTTTTTTATAGAACGTCAAGATTTTGGTTTTGCCCTGCACTTACACTTATGAATAAAGCAGAGACTCATTAGGAATAGCTTAAGAACATACTATTTACAAACTAGTTATCTACATTTTATTGTAAAATCTTGACAGTAGGCAGTGGAGTTATACTAAAAGTTTTCTTAAAAAAAGGGAACATAGAAATTATTAGATTTCACAGCTGATCAGGTCTAATATGGGGAAGATAATTGCATAAAATTGGTGCCAGATTGGGTCTTGTTTCTCTATTACAGCAAATGGTTAGGCTAAGAAGAAAAAACTTCAACTCTTAAGATAGATTATGAAAAGAGATATGAATATTTCTAAATATAGAAGTGTGAAGGTTGTAAATATTAAAAGTGATACTTAAAAGTTTTCATAATAGTGACAAGAAAATAACAGAAGTAAAAATAAAAAAAATTGCAGATTGAAATAAAAATTCAGTGTATATTGTGAAATAGAAATATTTATTAGGTGTAAGTTTGATACTCTGTTGGTGAAATTGTTACTATGACAGGACATCGTCTTGCTCATGGATTTACCTGGTTCATCATGGTGTAGAGTGGACAGCATAGAGGATATTGGGATCCTTGATGGTATTCGGTAGAATTTTTTTTCTTGTTTCACCACGTCATATATCTGAAAGGTAAATACTATAGAAATTACTGTACTCTTTGCTAGATTTTGATGTTACTGAAGGGGAGAGCCTTTCAAGAAGGATCTGCCTTCTATCTAAAATGTCCTGTCAACACCAAAAATGTGTGCGTGACAAAACAAACTTTTGGCATCTTGATATTTTCATCGTAGTTAGCAAGCGGTGATCCACTTAAGAGCAAGTGCTGATTTTATCATGGAGGTCAAGATTTGATGGTAATGCGCCTTTTATGTCCAAGGCAGCAGGGATGCTTTGCCTTTCAAAGCATACCTCTTGGCCCACACTTCAATGCTAGTTGGTATCACAATACTTTTCAGTAGTCAGGGGCCCAACGTGTCCAAATAATTCCTCTTTGCCAGTGGCTTCTGGAAAGACTTCTGTGGAGCAATTGGCATGGATTGTGGTGAGAGTTTTCCAGTGCATGATGGTGATGGCTTTACCCCAGCTTACGCCAGCATCTTCAGCACAAATGGTCTATGGAGCTTTCCATTAACTTCTGCAAACACTGAGCTCCCCTTTTCACAAGGTCACCATCTATCATGAGAATTAATATGTGACCTGCAGTGTTTTACATAATGCAGTGGCACTTTACTCTTCCTATCCTGCCTTTTCTTCCCTGTCTGCAATGGTTGAAGCTTATCTTGGTACGCAAACCTCTGGAAAAAGCCCCAAATACAAGTAGCTGATAGTGTGTTAACAAAAGGTGAGCACTGAGAACACCTTCAGTGCCATTTCAGGAAACTTGCAGAGTAACTCATTAAAAAAAAAAAAAGTCAAAAAGTTTTAATACTCTTGGAAATTTAGTTCTGTGGCCATATTTTGCTGTTGGTGAAACACAACTTAGTCCTGGTTTCAAAATGAAGTTTAAAGAGATGCACTTGGTCTTTCAGTGTATTACACTAATGTATATTTTAACTAAAAGTAAGAATTTCTGAGCTTAACTGGTTGGAAATAATTTCTGTAGAGGGTTGAGGAAAGGTTGAGCTTGTGCAGATAGTCTGAGGGAAAGGGCTCAGACAAAAATTTGGTCATTATGAATGTATTGATCAGAGAGAAAAAGATAAACCATTGTGACTTAAGGTGAAAAGGAGGGAAATGCTAATAATAAATGCATTGTAGGTATTTAGGGAGAGGAGGAGGATTTTGTTGCTCAGCTGGCACAGATTCCTAGATACCCTTAGCCTAATTTCATGAAATGTTCAGTCAGAACCTCAAGAGAAAGACAGTTGTGACTTAAAAAAAATGTATTTGACTAAGTATTTTGTGGTTTGAGATTAGCTGGAAGAATCATATGTAACAGAAATCATATTTCTCTCTAAATATTTAGGATTTGACAGAAATATCTTAAAATTGAGAAGCTTAATTACTTTTGTTTATTGTTGCTTGATTATCTGGCACTTTTTTTTTTATAAATAATGCAAAATAAATAACAAGAGAAGGGGGAATTAAAGTATTCTATTTTCTGGTTTTTTTCATATGTGATTTTTTTTCTTTTTTTTAGAGTTTAAAGAGCATTAATATTGTGAATTGTGAAACAATTTCAAGTGTGAGTATGGTAAGGCAGGATCCTTGATTTAACCACTTGAAAGGGTATAAATACATTATAAGCAGAAAGCTTCTATACAGAACTGACAACAGCCAATTCTGACCACAGTATAAAAATTATCTATTTTAAAAGGCTGAAATGCACATAAATGAAGTATACAACTTTAAACATTTTAAGTGGTTATTTTTCAATCTGCAAAACAAATGCTATTTCCATACTAGAAATTCTTGTTAAAGAGCAGGTTTTGTGATGACTATTGGATTTAAATTACTAACATTCAAAAGGCTTCTGTATTGACTTATCTGTCAAAAAAATTGTCTTAAATAAAATTTATTGTAGCATGTTGCAGTTTTAGTGGTATGAAAATTGCTTAGCAGACTGTGTAACAATACTTGATTCTTCCTTTGTGCTGCACAAAACTCAGCGATAACAAGAGAGTTTTTTAAATATGTGTTAATAAGGCATGTAAATTTCCTCCCACTTTTTAACCTTTGAGTCATACTGTCAGTTTTGACATTTTTTAACTCTGCTTATGGAGGAGATTTGTGTTGTGTTTTGAATATGGTAGGAAGGTTCTAGAGATACATACTGACACCTTTTCAGTTCCTAAATATCAAGAGGAGATTCAACAATGCAACAGTGGAAGAAAATTGAGCTTCTGTTAGCCTGACAATAGGTATTTTGAGATGAAGAAAACATATGGAACTTGCTAACAGAGAAGTCCTGGAAGTAGCCAAGCTTAAGGAGGTTGGGTTGTTACTGTTTTTCTTGGCTGGTGTTGATGCTATGTAGTAATTACTGAGGAATGAGTGGAGCTGGAAGTCATGGGTTCCAAGCAGAAACTTGAGTTCAATCTGATTTTTCAAGGATGAAATATAAGAAAGCTTCCATTAGAGATATATCTGATACTTCAAGGCATAATGTGTGAGGCTGACCTTGGGGGAGAAAAAAAATCATACTGACAATAGACTGCAAATTTTAAATATCAATGAAACTTTGATACAATATCACAAGAGAATGGGAAACTGTCTTCAAGAAGTAGAATTTAAAATTCAGAATTGGGAAGCTTTTGAACAAATGCAAGTTGTTCAACTTGTTTTGCATTGGCTAAGATTAGGAGTAGTAATGATCTCAGATTAAAACTTGAATCTAATGCATGACTCTGTAAGACCCCAGGCTCTAAGATACAAGCTCACCAAAGGGGTTTTGCTTTAAAAATATACAAGGCTCCACATATTTGCCTGCTGAATTTATTAGAAGAGCCTTCAGTTCTTCTAAAGCCTTAGGATAGCAAAAAGGAGAAATGCTGCACATGTTTTCTCAGGGGGTACTTTTACTGGTAAACTTTAAAGAATAAGGGAACTTGGCAAAAGTTTAAAGGGCAACATTCAACCAAAATAAAGCATTCCACAAAGCATTGACTTAGCACATGCTAACCTATACAACTTGGCCAAATCCAACCTGTCCGGTCGTAAGCTACCCAAAATATTAAGAAAGGAGATTAGGAGAATAAGAGGAAGTAAAGAGGGGGAAAAAAAGAGAATTCTAGCTACCACCTCTAGATCCAGGGTAGATCCATGTACCAGGAGTCCAGAAGATAGTAGGGCTTAAAGGAGCATGGAGAGCACATTGCTGCTTTTGTTTGCTTTGGCCCCCCTATGGCAACACCCCCCCAGCCCCCAGGTGGGATTTGCAGCCCACTGACCACTCTGGGGCTCCGGGGAAGGGTGAGGGGCACTTCTCCTGGTGTGTCAGAGGCTGGTTTAGGGAGAAAAGGGGATGTGGTCTGGGGCAATGCTCCCAGGCTGCTTTTGACTGACAGCTGCCCTGGGGTTGCCCAAGGACACTCCAAGGGTCTGAGTTATGGCATAGGGTGTCACCTCACCTTTGTGAAACTTGCCCTGTCGCTTCCCTCCACCCCCCCATTTGAGTTGGTCCAAGTCAATAACGAATATAATAATCCAATGTCTCACAGACTCACATAGCAAAAAATAGCTGTTTTTTTTTCTCTGTTGCACAAGTCTGGATCTTATTTTACATTAAGTTAAAATATTTTTTTTTTCAGTTGTAGCAAAAGTACATGTTGAATATTAACCACTTAGAACTGAAAAGATTTTAACAATTAGGAGAACGAATGTACTTGATATCCCCTGCTTCAGGCTTTGGTCCTTTAGAGTCTCACCCATGCCTTGACAACAGAGCTCAGCTATGACGCAAGGTTTGTGCAGGAACAGGTAGGAGCAAGCAACAAGTGACCAGGTGAAGTATCAAATGAGTGAAAAAAACGCATGGTCTTTGGTTTGGAATAGGGAGTGTTGAGCGATACAGGTATATTGCTTAACTGTTAACCTTTGCTAGGAAATTTTTTAAAAGAGGTTTTTAAAGAGACTGTAAGTCTTTGTGATGGATTGTTTAGTGTTTGGCTATGTTGTGTTTGTTTTAGAGGGGTTTGGGGAGTGGAATTGTTTGTGTGTGTGCTGGTATATTTTTCTGGGCCAAACAGGTACCTCAATCATATTCCTTCAAGGTTGTTTTAGAGCAAACTACCTTGTTTTGTACGAAACATATTACCATAATTCACAGTATTTTTTTTATGCTACAAAAACCTCTGAGACAATCTCAGGATTTTCTCTCAAAACCACTTAATTTTGGTGGATTTAGCACTGCTATACGTTGAGACACTGTTGCTTTATTTTCTGTATACAGAATTTTGCAATGCTTATGGTTATGTGTGGTTAAATGTAACTGTAAGGCCCCAATCTCTCAGGGCAAGTTTCTTAAAGGCGCCTTGGTTTTTTTATACCATGAGAGGGCACAAGGGAAAAACCACAACAATGTTTTTCAGGAGCTTAAACCACAAACTTTTACTGGCAAACTTTAGAAAATAAGGGAAATTGGCAATTTTCAAAGGCAAATTCAATCACAGTTAAGCATTTCACGAAGCATGGACTTAGCAAACTGCAGCCCATCCAACTTTTAAGTTACCCAGATTGCAAGAAGAGGAAATCAGAAGAGACAGAGAGAAAGCAAAAATATAACCACTGCTGTGGTTCCAGCATGGTAGGAGCCAAGGACAATCGGGACACAACACATGGAGGCCTTGTACAATGATTTTTATCTGCTCTGGCTTCCTGCGGGCCACCTCCCCCCCAGGTGGGGCTTCCAGTCATCCAGCCATTCTGGAGCTGGGTTAGGGGTTCCAGGGCCACGTTGTGGAGCAGTGCTTCCAGTTTGCCAGTGACTGAGAGCTGCTCTGGAGCTGTCCCAGAGGCTCTGGAGGGTGGGGAATGTGAGCAGTGCACTGTCTCACTTTGGCAGAATTTACCCTGCCCCCTCCCACACACACCTTAGCTGTTTCAAGCCAGTAATAATATTTTCCAGTCTCTCACAGTAACTAAGCTGTGCTTGCAGCTTAGGCTGTGCAATATCTGGCCTTATGACCTTTTTATCAGTTTCCATTTCCGAAACACTTCTGTTCACTATTTTTTTTTTTAAATCATTTTGGGAAAGATGTATGTCCGAATTGACTAACATCTCAATCACACATTTTTACCTAAAATCAGTCAGTCCTGTGGGATAAATCAGACTGCTGTGTGGACTTTTTTTTTGTTACTGAAACAATCCTTCATATATTCTGTAAAAGTCTATTTTTATTTCTTTTGTGAAAATTAATATTAAAAGGTTTAAAAATTAAACTAGAGTGCATGCTACAATGATTTGTTTAATTGAGTGACTTCTGTTTAAATAGTTACATGAGCCACGTACCATGTTCATATATATATATGTAGTCATTTTCAGCTGATAATTGGAGGTAATAAGATTTAATTTATGATACAGGAGAATAAACAGTACAGTCTATAAGCACTTGCGTGTTTGACCAGAAAGTGTTATAGATCCTTGCAGTGATCCTCTGTAGAGACCTTATCAAGAACCTGACCAAAGCTACTGAGTCACGCAGATGATTCTGACTTTCAGAACATAAGGTCACAGTTTGAGTGAAGTCTCAGATAGCAAAAATGCTTTCATTTTTACTGAGACAACAAAGGCCTCTTAACACTGCTGGGTAGTTAATGTTTTCTGAGTGGTCTCTCAAAGACAAAGTGCTTGTTGGTTACAATTCCGTTATTGTTCTTCCTTGTGGTCTGACAGTGCCGTACCCTTCAAGAGGAGGAGAGCACTGAATTATGTTGCATGCTGTATGTCTCCAGTCATCTTTTCTGACCAAGTGAGCGAGAAAAAGATGTGGAAGATCTTAAACCAAAATCCTTTCTTTTCAGAAAATTTCCTGCCTCTATTTACTGAATTCATCTGTGAATGAAACATGCACTGCATGTACAATTTACAGTGTAAGATCAAATTGTCCAGAAGAAAATACTATTTGTCTATGGCAAATGCACCAAAATATTCTATCTGGCTTATTTCTTAAAAATGTCAATGCTTTCAGTATGTGCTGCTGCAAGAAAACAGGACATTTTATCAGGAGTTAAGAATCTGTCTGAGGTGTAAACCCTAGGATAATTAGAATAATTAGTCTCTAGCCTAAAATATTTCTACTGTGTAGTTAGTTATTGTGAAGTAGGAAGCAAAGTGCATGTTTCTTTGGTAAGTAGATGATCTAAAAGTGTGTCAATTAAAAGATTCTGGGTATGAAATTCCAAATGTACAGGTATCGAAGGGGGTAAACAGAACAAACCAAATGTTCAAAAGCGCTCTAAGATGCTTTAAAAGAAAAAATTACAGAGAAGAAAAAAATCAAGAATAGAATATTGATGATGTAAATAAACATTATTTCCAATTTTAAATTGGTTTCCTGATGATGTAAGTATACACCAAGATGTGCTGGGCAGCTTGTTTATTCTGTACTTTCATTAAATGAGTTACAGATATTAGGGCTTTTAGGTAGATACTGGTGATGTTATATTTATGCAATCTCAATTTTATTTAAGTCTTCTATATTTTGAAAATCAGAGCACACCATTTAAAGATATTATATTACCTGCATCTAGCACATCCTTAGTTTTGAAGTATGTAGAAGGCTTGTTCACTGCTTATTAGTTTTTTTGGATAAAGTTAAGGAAGTTTCACCTGAAACCAATATTAATATTACAAATCAGACAATTAATTAGTGGTTAAAGATATTAACATTTGCTCTATAGAATACCGTAAAGGTATCATAATTATGGACTTGGATTCTTTTCATGCCTGCCACCAAATTTATGAAAATAACATTTCTCCCAGGTTTTCCCATTTATCAAATAGGAATACTTGCGGTCCTGATCAAGTGCTCTGATGCTTGTGGAAGATAAATCTCCTTTGTGAGTGTGTTCAGTGTTATAAGTAGCATTATCCCTAGAATATCAAGAGTTCCTTCAGGAGAATATATTTGCAAGGACAGTTTTTTTCACTTTGGTTGCATGCTCTTTATTTTGCTTCTTTGTATACAAATTTAAGGCTAAAATGGGGCTCGCATGTCAGCATAATATCTGATCAGCAGAATGCCCTCTGCTGAATAATACTGTGACGTAGCACAATGCAATAAATTGGGTAGGAAGTAGTAGCTTGCTATTTTGGATGTAATTAATGTAGTTTTATATTTAACACCTCAGTCTTTGCATTCAGAAATAAGTTGTCTTTCTAATGCTTCTTATTAATGCTTTATTTTAGTAAGTGGATGTACAAATAACTTTCCAATTTGATCCTAGTCAGTGTGAACCTTCTAAAACAACACTAAGCTTAAAGCAACTTAGAAAAAGTGTGTGTTATATACCTACGTATAGTTTTCTCCTTTTCCTGCATTGTGAGAACAGGTGTATTGGTGGGGAAAAATATTCACTGACATGCCTGAGAGATGAAAAATAAGCATTTATAGGAAAAAATGAGAAACTTTATAAAAATATGAAAATTGTCTTAAAGTTTATTTTCCCTTCATATGACTAAACAAATTGCAAATAATAGTGAAAGAGATTAAAAGGTGTTGATATAGGATGGAAAAACTAGAGCCATGCTTAAACAATTATTTTTCTCTGTAAAGGCTAAAAAAACCAACCCCCCAAAAACCCTACCTTCCTCCTCATCCCCCAGAAAAACCAAACCAAACCAAAAAACTCAAAACAATAAGAATACCCAAACAAACAGAAAAACAAAACAAAACAAAAGAACTCCCCATGGCCTCCCAGAAATCAATTGCTGAAAACATAGTTCAGGAGAAGCAAGGAATATCCTTGTTTTTATTGCTTAGCTGTAACATAGAGTAGCCAGTAGCCAGAAGTTTAGGAGTGGGTTTTGGGATTCTTAAGTAGAAAAATGCAGTAATTGATATCATAGTTAATAACTGATTTGGGCTGCTGCTCTTGTATACATTGAGTCTTTAAGCTGTATAAAGCTGTGTGGTCAGGAACTGTAAAGATGTGAGTCAATCAACTACATGGTTTTATCTTTCAGTCTTTGTCACAGTAAGTTATACAGAAGGACTCACAGATACGACCCCAGGTTTGGGTGTTGTTTGGTAGAGGAAGAATAAACAGTAAGAAGTTGCAAATCAGAAAAGATAACCACTAAAAAAAGTTGTTTTCAGACTACGTTATCTGAAGGGTTCTTGGGATGTGGGGATTGCTCTGGGTTGCAAGCAAATATTTTGGCTCATCTAGTAACTATTTTTAGACAGTAAAATAAGGATAATCTGGATGATTCTTTAAAATGTTGCTAAAGCTGTAAAATGGGAACAGAAATGGGGAGTTAACACCTTTGTAAGCTGAAATATCTTTTAATATAATTGGATTTTTACTAAATGTTTTAGTATGAAGAATTTGTGTCAAGAATTGAAATGGATTCCTTAGGACAGCTACCAATATATGGTCTGTTGACTGGTTTAACTGTATAGAAGAGAAATAATTAAAGACAATCTGGCATTTGTATATGTGGTTCCTACAGCACAGAAACTACCTGAACATTTTAAAAGTAATAAGATGATATTTTTTCTGTTAGCTTGTCGTAATTTGCTCCCTTTTTTTTTAATATGTGTAACTGACAAAATAGAATATGCCATTTTACTTGAGTAAATGCACAAGCATTTTAGTTAGGCCTTTATGAAGCATGGTACTTGTCTTACATAAATAATGTCCACAATTCAGATGAGTATTGCACTAATTAATGCTATGTGGTCTGCA